GACTTTCTGGTAACTGCATACTTCTTTCTTTTTTGACCTCCTTTAGCCTCTTGCTATTCAAAGTGTGGTCTTCCATCTGCAGCATCAGTGTCACCTGGGAGCTTGTTTGGACATGCAGCATCTCTACCCCATGCCAGACCGAAGCTGCTTCAGCAAGACCCCACAAATGGTTCCTATGCACACTCATGCTTGCGAAACACTGCTCTGGCATAGTGGTTCTCAAATGTGGAGGGCTCGTCAAAGCCCTCCAGATTGCTGAGTCCCACTTGCAGAGTTTTTCACTTAATAGGTCTTGCCTGGAGCCTGATAATTTGCCTGTCTAGTAAGTTTCCAAGTAATGCTGAGGCTGCTGGTCTGTGTACCACCCTATGAGTCACTGCTTTGGCTTAGGTCCCACTCTAATCACGCTGCCTAATACCAACACCTGTACCATTTTTTTCCTTCACTTGCTGAATATCACAGCAACACTCAACCTGGTGCTGTGATCACCTAATTGATGAAAACGGCCCAGGTTTATTTGTAGCTGAGCTTTGCTTTCAGAGTAGCAATTTTCAACCCCTGCACATCAGTATTACCTGGGGAGCTTTAAAATAATTGAATTCTACTTTAATTAGTTTGGACTACCGCCCAGGCATTACTATTTTTAAGGTGTCCCAGATGATTCTTACATAAAGCTAGGATTGAGAACCATTAAAATTCTTAGGGCTCCTTTCTCAGTTACTCCCAGAGACCTCTTTTCCATGTCATTATTAGCTCAGGATTTCTGCATTTTTCTTGGATAAATGGGAACTAATAAAGGGGATGGTGACAAGTACCCAAACTTTGTTGGAAGGATCTTCCTAGGATTACTTGCCTGATAAACAGAGAGTTTTATAATCTTTCAAAAATATCCCTCAGTCCTTTAAGATTTCTCAATAAACACATATACTCTTCCCTGCAACTTCTTATAATTGGACCTTTTACAAAAGAGCCATATTCATTTTAACAGAAGTCCCTTTTTAAAATTACTTAGAATAAGGAAATTTTAAAAGAAAGATGCAGTGATTTCTTCGTTACTTAAGCATTCAATACTGGATTATCATGTGAACATGGTAATTTTACCACATATAGCAAGAAGTAGAAAATAAGTTAAGGACTAGTGGACAGACTAAGAATATTTTCCTTTAGATTCATAGGGGCTTCTCATTAGAAGAATTATTTTCCTAAAAATATATATACACTGAGACCTGTCGAAAAACTATTCCTTTTAGAAAGAATTTTATGACAGAAGGATAAACTTGCATACAGAAAAGGTAATTAAATATGAATAGAGAATACAGTTGCAGCCTACAGTGAAATTTAATTGGCAAAATTCCTTATTCCTTTAGTTCAATACATGTCTTATACTCTGTGTGACATTAGCTTGGCATAGAGATTAAGAGGATAGGATTTATGGACCCGTTGCAGGTTTGTATCCTAGCTTGCTTCCTGCTCACTGTGACCTTGGACAAGTTAGTTATAGAACCTCTTTGTGCCTCAGTCTCCTCATCTTTACAGTGGGGATGATAATAGCATGTATCCCATAAGGTTGTTGTCAGAGTTAAATGCATTAAATGTATGTGAAGAACTTAAAATGGTCCAACATACAGTAGGAACTCAAAACAACAACGACAACAAAACCCAACAACAAAAATCTAGCCTGTATTTTTGCAATGTACATTCATGTATTCTAATCCTTAAAACTGAGATAGTAATGAGATACACTTGAGCCATGTTTACATATGGCAATCACTTCCAAAATCTTAGGTAAGTGGGATGAGGTGGGGTGGGGTGGGGTGGGAGGAGGAAGGATAGAGAAGAGGGACACATTTAAATGAGTGGAAACAGAGATTCATGCCTTGCTTGTGACTACCCACACAGTTTCTCAGTTACATGGACACAGACTCCTTTCATGCCCCATGAGGATTCTGGGACGGTAACAGCCTCATTTCCGCCAACTGTCTGTGGGGAGAGTTTCACTATTGGGCTAAACACTTTCCCTTCTCTGCAGCTAAAAGAGGACTCCCACTTCTTGCTCATACCTGGAGAAATCTGAGAGTCTAGAGCAGGGTTTCTGAACAGTGGCTGCTCACTTGAGAGCTTTGGAAAAATATGCTAATCCCTACCCTAGATGTTATGATTTTCCTAGTCCCCACTAGTCTGGGCATAGATATTTTTCAAAACACCCCAGATGATTTTAATATACAGCTAGAAGTTTGAGAGCCATTTCTAGCGGCCTCTTCATTTATCACTCCCTCAATCAAGAGACCCTCCTATGACCGCTTGTTTGCCACTGATGCACTGCAAACAAGTGTGTGACACTCTCTCACAGTCTGCTACTTGAGTCTCAAATTCCCTGACCTGTATAGGTGCTGAAGGAATGCACACTCACTGAAATGAGAAGTCAAGGAAAAATCACAGGGGGAGTTGGATGAAGGAGGGAGATAAAGACAATCAGAAGAGGTGACTCCTAATAAGGCATGTTTATGAGAGAAAACAGAAGAAAACTTTAGAAAATATGTATCTTAAGGACAGATGTAATCAGGGAAAAAGGATTTAAAAAACGCATTTCTGATTTCTGGCCAAGATGGCGGAGTAGATAAATGTTGTTCTTACCTCCTCTCATGAACACATCAAAATTACAACTAAACTACAGAGCAGCCATTATTGATAATCACCTGAAGTCTAAATGAACCAAAGTCCTACCTCTAAGGACATACAGAAAAGGCCACCTGAATAAATAATTCAATTTATTTCCTATAAATCATGTTAAGTATGCATTTATTGAAGGACACTCTCTCCCCCAAATGCTGTCATTCCCCAATACTTCCACCAAATTTTGGCTTTCCTCTCATAAGCACACTGAATCTTTAAAAGCATTTTGCAAAATTAGTATGTCTAACACCTCTCAAAATAATGTTAAAATGATCATAATTTGAGAAATTAAAGAGAAAAAACAGGCAACATAAAGGCACAATATTAGTAATGAGGAAGGAGCTATAACTATGGATATAAAAGAAATTTAAATAATTATAACAAGTACTTTGCATAACTAAGCTGCTTCAAAAAATGCGTGTAATAATGGATGATCTTCTGAGAAAATATAAATGGGAAAAATAGCCTCAACAAGAAAAGGAAAACATAAAAAAACCAAAAGAGCCTCGCTTTCTAATGAGGTTCAGGTGAGAGCTCCTTAGAGAGACCAGCTCCCCTACCAGGGTGAGCCTTTTTCAGCTATACCTCTTCAAATTCTCTCCAACTCCTATACTCCCCAGTATATCCCACAACTTTTTCTAATAAGGATCCCTAGCCTGGCAGTCATCAATCTGGGTGAGGGACCAAAAAAATGGCCAAGCCTAGTTACCTCCTTAGTGTCCATTGGTCCCCCTAGGAACTCAAGCATCCTTACTAAGCAGTGGGATGCAGCGTGCTCTACTTTCACGCCTCACTTCACTCTCTCCAAATGTCTTTTTTTTTAAAAATATTTTATTGGGGAATTGGGGAAGGGAAACAGACAAGTTGCTGTCCTTTTGTTCTTCATTCTAGTTGTGGAGGATGTTGCTTCACTGGCCCAAGTTGGTATTATCATTGCACTCTTCCTGGGTGAGGCAGATCAGTCGCCGGCCACTGGACAGCCTCTCACTGCTGCTCTTGGCAGTTCCCCCTGGCTGCCGGCTGCTCACACCGGCTGCCAGTCACTCACGGTAGCTTATGGCAGTCCACTGCAGCTCCATTGCAGCCTACACTGTAGCTGGCAACTCACAGCAGCCCAGCTCCAGGTCGAACTGTTGTTCACTATCTTAGCTGTAGAGGGCAGCATCACTGGCCTTAATGTGGGATCTGAACCGGAGCCTTGCTGCTCAGAGCTGGCGTCCCAAACCAACGTGCCACTCAGCCGGCCCCAAATTTCTTTTTATGTAGCTAGACATGGGGCAAACAGATGTACAGCTGAGGAGTGAGATGGCAGATCCCACCTTTTGCAGGCACCAGTGTTTATGAGAGATTCCTTAGGAAACCCCTCATCAGCTTTGTAGAGAAAGCATCCCTGCCCCATCCTGCATTGACGAGAGAGGGAAAAGCCACAGCAGACCCTGTGAGGTCAATGACTAATAATTCTGATACCGCCTCCCCTCCTTACCCTGACCTGACTAGTTTTCTGCTGCTATTTGGGAGAGTGAGGCAATGCCTAGGCTCAAATATTGATGGACGTTTATGGAATACAATGTATTCATTGTTCCTTTTTACTCAGCTGTGGAGTAAAAAGTCACCTAGTTGCCAATCTAAGAGAACAGAATAAGTGCCACTCAATCACTTACTATATTAACAAAATGCAGTCCAATGTTATGTTAAACAAATATGACTAAGTGGAGTAAAATTTAGGAATAATAAAAAGTACTACACATTGACTCTTACTATGTCCCAGACAGTTTGCTAAGCAATTTCTAAACTTTATTTTACATAATTCTGACAGCAATTCCATGAGGTAGGCATTACCCTCTACTGAGACTCAGAGAAATTCATTATTCTGCAGAAGTTCACATAGAGTCAAGATTCAAAATAAGGTCTAACTCCAAAGCCCATGCATGCTCCTTGGTTCACCACAAGGAAATCCACATCTGAACATCTCTATGTATTCTACAAATGTATTTTTTAAAATACCTTGATAAGATAAGGATAAAAAAATTTATCTTCTTAACAAGATTGTATAGCCAACATCCTTAGGTTGGAACCCTTGACACATTCCCATTTAATTTAGAAACAGAAGGATGCCCATTCTCACTAACATACTACACTATTCTGGAAGTGCTTGCCAATGCTATTAAATAAGAACATAATAAAGTTTTTAATGTTTTGAAAGGAGCAGATTAATTATTTCATGAAGATTAAATGATTGTTTATTGAAAAACCCAAAGAGAATAAACTAAAAACTCATCAGAAATTATAACATTTATAAGAAAGTTCAATAAAAATTTTCTAAATCAACTTGTGACTTCAACAGATATTTATTACACATGTACTATTTGCCAGCCACTGTTCTAGGTGCTGGTAATATGACAGTGAGCAAAACAAAAACTCCACCCTCAATTTACGTTCTAGGATAAGGCAGAAGACAGATAATAAACTAGATAAATAAATATAATATAAATCCACTAGCTATAAATGCTATGAAGAAAAATATAGTAAATTAAGAGAATTAAGATAGACAGGGATGACTGGGGAGGGCGGGGGCTCAGAAATGACCTTTCTGAAGAGGTGAAAATTTGAGCAGTCTTATAAAATAAGTCTCTATGACTAAAGGGAGTGAGCTTGTAATACCTGGGGGGCGGGGGCGGGGGGAAGGGAGGGATTTTACAGGCAGAGGGCAGAGCAAGCGCCAAAGTCCTTAAGTGACAGCGTAAGTTTTTTCCCTTAAATCAAATAGTCAGAAAATTCACTCGGTTTCCACATGGGGTGAAGGCAGGTACACAGAGAAAGCCCTGGAGGGGCATTCATTGTAAGCCCTCTACTCAGAAATATGAGAATTGTGGGGGAGGGGGGAGTTTCCTGTCTTGCAGTGAGGATTTAATTTTTTTTTTCAGTCTGACAGGAAACAACTGGAAGAGAGATGACAATACATTTATATTTAACAGGTGTCACCATGGTTGCATTGAGAATAGACTGTTGGGGACAAGAGTGATAGCAAAGAGAGCAGACAGGAGAAGGCTAGAGACGTAGAGAAGTAGTTCAGATGAGAGATGAAGGGTCTTGGACTAGGGTGCAAGGAATGAGGAGAGAAGCGGTTGGATTTGGAATGTATTTCAAAGAAAGATTCAGTGAGATTTACCCACAGATTGGGAGTGAGGAATGAGAGAAAGAAATCAAAGATGAGGGGCCAGCCGAGTGGCTCAGTGTGAGCCCTGAGCAACAGGGTCACCAGTTTGAGTCCCAGCCTGAGCTGAGCTGCCCCTGAGCTGCCAACAGCTGACAGGATGGCTCAGCTTAAAAAAAAAAAAAATCAAAAATGGCTGCAGAGTTTGTGGCCTAAGCCTCTGGTTGAATGGAGATGGGGAAGCCCGGGTGAGGAACAGATTGGGAAGGCAGGCAAAGCAAGAATTGGGTTTTGATAATGTTAAGGTGGAGATGGTTGTAAAACATCTAAATGCAGAAGTCATGTAGCAGTTGGATATATAAATCGGGAGTTCAAGAAAGGATTTGGGATCTAGGCTATAAACCTGAGGGACATCAGCCTATAGGTAAAATTTAAAGGTGTGGTAGTACTGGGTGATATCAACTAAGAGTGAGTGTCTGAGGCCTGAGAACCAAGTTATGGGTTACAAGCATTTGAAGGTCAGATATATAATGAATTATATAATACCATTAACTTTCTTATATACCATCAATAGTCAGTTAGAGAATTTAGGGGGAAGGGTTGGCTGAGTGGCTCAGTTGGTTAAGAGTTCGCTCAAGAGTGTGAGGGAGCTCTGAGCAACTGCGGTTTGATGCCCGGCCCGAGCTGAGCTGCCGCTGAGCTGCCAACAGGTGGCAGGATGGCTCAGCTAAAAAAAAAAAAAAAAAGATATTGGACAACGTCAGGCTTGAGTCAAAGTGGTGGGACATGGAGTTAGGATCAGTTCAGATACCAGAATAGTACACCAGATCACATAGTTTATTTATTATAAACAGGAATTTTTCTCCCCTAAATTCTTTTTTTTTTTAACAATTTTCCAGCATATTTTTCTAAAAGGGTTAATCAGCTCCTGAACAAGTTTCCTGGAGTGCTCCCAATTTTATGACAACAGCAGTTTCTTGTCTCTCTGTACTTCAAGTGATTATCACTAATATTTTCAGCTCCTACTTAATCAGTCCCAACCTCTTAGACTTTGTACTGTAATATATTAATACAGTAACATCGAAATCTATATAACTGAGACTTCAACACATTTCTACAAATTTATTTTTTAGATTAGCTTTACAAATTTTCTGGTTATTTTCATTTAGATTAATTTTATTTCTTCCAGGTATGTCTCCTTCAAAAATGAGCCTAAACCTAAAAAGAGTGATGTTGAAAAGTTAAATTTAAGACCACACTTTGTACCAACAAATATAAAAAATCAAGAAAGCAAGTCAATAGGTAATGCTTGTGTAACATATTTACTTCTCCTTTGATTTATCAATGAGTATTTTTATTATATACCTTAGTATTTATTAATGTGTATCATAAAAGTTCTTGATGATTCGATGTCTCTGTTGAAAGCATTTGCTTGAAAGTATATGGGTTATAACTGCAGTGTGGAAGATTTTAGTGAGCTATAAAGAAGAATTTCCTAAGATGAAAAGATGTTGAGTATCAGAATAGACAATTTATATATTTCACAAATTAAGAATTTGTGAAGAATTCTTAAAAATATAAGAATATATTTTTATGTTTATATATTTTTCTAAAAGGAAAATCTGAGTTTCTTATCAGTTTCTTTTCAGAAACCATAAGGTTTTCCTTGCTAAAGTAAATAGAAATTTACTTTACATGAGCTATAAAATAAAGGAACTTACTTTTTTAGAAACTTAAGGAATCTGTGAGCTAGGAACCAACATTATAGGTCCTCAGATAATTTGAGTGTTTTTTGTTTCCTTTGTTTTTTCTTTCTCTGGCGTTATAAAAAAAAACAAACATTCAGTTACATCATTCTCATCAACCTCCTTGCCTCCACATTGCCCCATGTTGCCTAACGCAGAAAAGCTGTGGGGAAGGACCTCTGCTCCAGTGGGTCCAGAAGACAGAGCACTGAGTCAGAGGGTTATTCTTGAGCCTTAAGATCTAATGAAGTTTGGGCCAGCCGAGTGGCGCGATGGTTAAGATCTAATGAAGTTGGCCTTACTAGGTTTTATACTTACTTGGGACCTCTTTCTTCTTTCCTCTTTCTCCCTTTTAGAATGGGAATTCAGCCAAATTCTTTGCCACTTTATAAGAAATATAGCCTTTTGTCCATTGTCCAATAGCATGTTCTTCATTTCTGTTTGAGAACTCATCAGAATGGCCTTTACCATCCATACTTCTACTAATATTTCTGCATGTGATTATGTACTCTCTAAGAAGATAGAAGCTTTCTTTACAGCTCTCCTCTTTGTTTCTGAGTTCTCACCAGAATCAGTTTTAAAATCCCTGCATGGCTACATTGGCTTTCTCTAGCATGCACATCAAAACTCTTTCAGCCTCTACTGACAACCTAGTTCCAAAGCCACTTTCACGTGTTGTTCCAGCAGCACCCCACTTCTCTGTACCAGTTTCTCTCAGTTTAGGCTGCCATAACAAACTATGATAGTCAGGGTGACTCAAACAACAAATATTTGTTTTTCACAGCTCTGGAGGCTGGAAGTCTGAGATCAGGGTGACAGTATAGTCAGGTCCTGGTGATGGCCCTTTTCCTGGTTTTCAGACAGTTGCCTTCTTGCTGTGCCCTCACATGGCAGTGAGAGATCATCTCTCTCATGTCTATTCTTATAAGGGCATTAATCCCATCATGGGGGCTCCACCCTCATTACCTCACTAAACCTAATTACCTCCCAAAGGTCTACCTCCAAATACAGTCACATTGAGGATTAGACTTTTAACATATGAATTTTGGGAAGGACACAAACATTCAATACATAGCAAGTACCCTATCTAAATTACACCTCTCCCTGTTGTTCTCCCTCACCAAAATTTGTTTATTTCTGTCACAGCATGCATCTCAATTTATAATTATTCACTCCTTTGTTTCTTTAATGGATTATTTTCTGTATTATTCACTAAAATGTATGCATCATTGGGCAGGAATCACAATCCCAGAGTCCCACACTAGTGTTTGGCATATGTGATCAACAAATAGCTAATGACTGAATGAATACCATATTTAGTTTGTTACATCTAGTATCATATTTAATCTTCACAGCATCCCTATTAAGATAAGGACTATTATTTCAAATTAACAGATGAGAAAACCAAGGTTCAGAGAGGTTAAATAACTTTCTTAAGGCTACATAATTCACACACACACACACAAAATAGGTGTTGATCCCAGGCTATCTAAATCCAAAGATGGTATGCTTGATACCCTACATTATACCTACTTTAAGAAAACCCATTAAATAATAATCCAAATTAATAAAACTCATAATTGGAGATGGGGGTTGAGGGGAATATTTCTGTTTTCAAAGGAATTCATGAAAAGATTTCTTTGACTGTCAAGTATTATTGTTTTATTTAGAAATCCAATTTTTCCCAAGAAGATACAGCTTTATTGTATAGCAGTAAGTAATCAAAAGTTTTATTCTGTTAATAAAATTTCATTGTTAAAGCCAATTATTCTAGCTTTATATATTTAGCTTTAAAAATGTAAAAGCATTGCTATGTAAGGAAATAAAATTATCATACTACATTTCTACAAAGTTTACTACAAGTAGAGAATATAGTTTATTGAGTTAAATTAAAAGTAGTCTAATAGTATGGAAATATTATTTACATTTGGATTTGTTTCATTAGAACCAGTGGAAGAAAATCTAAAATCAAGATATAGTAGACGTTTTCTTTATCTTAAGGATACAGGTGAGGTAGGTTTAATTTGTATGCCTACAATTACTTAATAAAAATTCAAATTAGCCCTAATAATTTTATATATGTTTCTACAAATTCCAAATTCAAATGGATTTTAGGATTAAAAGCATTAGATATTTTGTTTGTTTATATAAAGGACATTTATTATAAAGATGGATACTTGGTTTGTAAAGAACATTATTGTTTGTTTAAAAACTAAAATATTAAAATAAAACATCAAGAAGAAACATACTTATCAATCGAGCAGTTTACAAGGTCAATCAGGAAAAGACAAATATTTCAGAATCGAAAGTACTTGTGTAATAATAACTTTGGATATCAATATCTATATAAGTATTTGTACCTATACATGTGCAAATTATACCAAGTTATGTAATTCGTTTTTTATTAAATTTATTGGGGTGACATTAGTTAGTAAAATTATACAGGTTTCAAGTGTACAATTCTATATTACATCATCTATATAGTGCATTGTGTGTTCACCATACTTGCATATGTATATGTATGTTTTGGATATCTAGATATGTGTATTTAAGTAAAAGCATGTGAAACTAATCTGAGACCCTCACTTATGAAAAACCTGTATCATTTTTTCCACTTTCTCCTCCTTTACTCAGGACTGTTTGCTGTACTTACTCTGTGTATGAGAGAGTAAAGTTTCTGTTTAAACTGAGATATGTCTTGGTATTTGAACTTTAGACTTTCCCTGCATTTGGAGAAATAAATTTTATATGAATATAAAGGCTAGGTTTTAAAGATAAAGAAACTAAAACTTAACAAAAAGTGTAAGCATAAGCAAGTTTAAAAGTTTTTGTAGATTTGTTTCCTCATCCATAAAGTGGCAATAACACCCATCTCATAGATTTTTTTTGAGAGTTAAATAAACATTATATTTAAAGTATGTAAAGAACTAGACAACTGTAAGTTATCATAATTAGATATTCCAAATGGGAACCAAGACGTATAAATTATCAGTATACATGGAAAGAAATAACTTCTAAAACAGTTTTCCATTTTTTTTCTGACATTTAGGTGGAAAATGCTAAGCTTTCACATGACCAGTATTCACAGCAGAGACAAGAATGTAGACAAACACTGGACTCTACAGCCTCTTTTCCTGTACCCAGCACTCAATCTAGTGCTTATAAGAAGGAAAAAGACTCCACTTTATTTACAGGTATACACATTGTGTGTTTATATTGAAATAACTGAAAATTAAATGCATCTAACTTTAGGATATAATCATTAAGAAAATCTTTAACCAAGGAATATCAGAATTTGACCATATTACCATATTATTTCACTACTTAATAACATCTGAAGACTCTCTAGTACAAAAATGATAAAGTCTAGATTCTTTAGCATAGTATATAAGATCTTTCCAGGCTTCTATTCTGTCTCTTTAGCCATACTGATTCTAGTCCTAATGAAGAGTCTGTTCCAACTACTGTGTGGTTTGATCTATTCTATTCTCTATGTTTAGAACATATTTTTCCACCTGATAGATTCCTATTCATCTTTAATAGTTGGGAAACTTTTAGCTGCAGAAAATTTGATTATATGTGGCTTAAAGAATAAAGATACTACTTATAATCTCAAATAACAAGAAGTCCCTCCGTAACACAGTTCCAGGGTTGGTTAATTCGGGGGGTTAATGATGTCATCAAATATCCACTTCCTCCATCTTTCCTCAACTTTCTTCAACTGTCTTACCAAGGAGCCTTGTCCTCCTAGCCTTGCTGTATAATATGGTGACTACTAGTTAAGGTTACTTGTGTGAGCAACAACATCCAGTGAAAACATCTCTTTATAAGAATGAGGAAAATGTTCCCCGAAGCCCTCCAGCACACTTCCCCTTGTGTCTTCTTGGCTAGAATAGCTTCATGCACCGATATCTAAATCAATAAATCATTATCGGCTTAAATCAGTTTTTTCGATTTTTAACACAACCCACAGTAAGAAATACTTTTTATATCACAGCTAATATATATGATATATATGTAGAGCAGAAGATTCACATTCATGGAGTTTTAATTTTTGTCTTTGTTAGCTGAACTTGATTACAGTATTTTAGTGTTTTGTAGTTATTACTAAGGATTCATGTGATGCTTTCTATTCTATTTAATTTTTTAAAATGCTGATCAGGAGATGCTAAATTGACTTAATGTCTAAATTGATGGGTTGTAGCTCACATTTTGAAAAGCATAGGCTTAGATCATTCAAGGTTCACTCCCTTGAGTTAGGAAAGAGTCCAGCCTCCTTTGAAGGACCTATTTGCTTAGAGGAGTTCTGAGATGCATAAGATCAGAGTTCTGTTAGCAAAGAACAGGGGGGAAGGACTGTTAAATAGGCAACTCTCTGTTTACCACATGATTCTTTAAGTGTCACATCTTCTCCAAAGTATTCCCTGATAGCAGTGACAGGCTGTTCTACTCTCTCAGCAAAGCAAATCTTCAATTATAAAATTTCTTGAGTCTCTTTATAGAAGAGGCATTATAATTCTTTTATCAAAGTCCCAAATTAAGACTTCTGGGAAAGTTGGCAATGTAAATACAAGTTTATCCAGGCCAAAATGAATTTTAAAAAGAAGAGAAGAAAAACGTATTAAATTAAAACTAAAACATTTTATCCCAAACTCAAAGCATATCTGCTATATATTACAATATGAAATATTTCAAAGAAGATTCCAGAAGGTAATGCACACTTCCATTTCCTAGGAGAAAGGAAGAATATTCAAAGATCCAATATCAGACATTTTAAAACACTCCTATTAACCTCCCCAACACACACACACACACACACACACACACACACACACACACACACACACACAAAGAAAAGGGGTTTGTTATCAAAGATGGGGAAATTCTCCCCCTGGGATCCCTTTCCTCATTGCAAGTCAATCGCATTCCAAGTGATTTCTAGCACTATTTTGAGAGAAAGGTAATGACCATATCTAGTCATTTCCTTCCCTGGCTTCCTAGTATTGCTTCAGGTGGACTTAGGGAGAAAACCTGCTAATTTAGAGCAAGATCTTGAAAAGAGGGTTGACAACAGAAGAGATACAATTTCCTAGGAACCATCTTTGCAAGTGCAAATAATAGCCACAAAGATAACTGTGTAAAGAAAAAAAACGTGTGACTCCATCAAACAGCCCAAGAGCCATGATTTTCTTTGACTACCGTATTTCCCCATGTATAAGACATTCCCATGCATAAGACACACCTTAATTTTGGGGTCCAAAATTTGAAAAAAAAGTTGTATTACATAAAGTTATTGAACTCAAGTTTTATTCATCATAAAAAAGCAAAATTCGAAAAAGCAGGAAATGCAAGTAAAATAATCTACAACCACTGTATAAGACGCACCCAGTTTTTAGACCCCAAATTTTTCGAAAAAAAAGTGTGTCTGATACATGGGGAAATATGGTAAATTCCTCCCTAAATTGAATTGCTTACCCCAAAAGTGAGGTAAAAAACTGGAACCCAAGTGACACCTCACATATAAGTGAACAGAGTACCCAGCACCACCATATTAGAGTCATGAAGAGGTTTCACAAAACATACGGTGCACAGAAACAACGTGAGTGTCTGGGAACACTTTTAAGAAAGTAGAGAAAGGCAGGAGTGGCTTTCAAGCATATCTGGGAATTCAACCTTGGACACTTTCTTCATACCAGTTGGCCAGATCCACTTGACATTTGCTAGCTAACTTTCCTCCATACCAACAGTGTTTACGCAGCTGAGACTTCCCACTGGCTAATAATGACTTTACATTTGGATGTGAAAATTTGGGAATGCCTTTCTTCCGCAAAAATCTCCAGGAGAAATTTTATGTTTGATTTGTCTTCGCCAAGCATTAGATCCTTGATCTCAGTCTTTTCCAGTTTTGTCTTGTTGTCTGAAGTTTTTATTGAATAGCTACGACAGATCAGGCACTATATCAAGTGCTTTCTATATGCTATTTTATGTTGTAAAATATTTTATACAAGGTATTTTATAAATGTCATAATACACGTGCCTTTTATGAAAATCTTTTATAATTTCAGCTCACACTGAAATAAAAGCTAAGAAATCATTTGAGTTGGTTGGCCACTTAGAAGATTATGTAAATAAAAGGTAATTATTTAAAAATTTTTAATATTTTATTCTGTTCAATGATGTTGCTAATAGAAAGAGTTATGCCTTTTTTTTTTCTAGTAGATCAGAATGAATTTGTCCTGGCTTATTATTACTATTACTATTACTATTAATATTAATATTAGGTGCATACTGCAGTCCAGTGACTGGTCCTAGACTGCTTAGCTAGTCAGGATTGCATTCAGACCTTGGGCCATATTCTATCTGCTGCAAGTTTATAGTCAAATGGAGAACAAGACATGGAAAAATGAATGGAAAGAATGCAATTGTGTTTTTGTAGTAGAGACACAAATTTAATTACACTAAAGTGTGGATGTGAGAAATGTAGCTTTTTATTTCTGTATAAAGTTCTGATCTTTCTTATGAGATCTTCAAACTCTGTGTAATGAAAACAAAAACGTATTACTCCACTGTGTTTTAAACTTTGTTTGGAGCAATAATATATAGCCTCTTTAGGTTTATCTGAGTCTTTCTGTTTCTTTCTGAGATGGTATTTGAGTAGATGAGTGAGAGCCTCACTGGACTTTGTGACACTGAGAAAAAGGACTTGACCAGGGTCTTGGTCAATGTCCTTGTACTGCTGGCTTCACTCCTGGATGTTCCGTGGCTGCTGATATTTGCGCTTCATGAGCTTGTGGCCTATTCTGTCTGAATTTGGATACGGTCCACTCTCAACTCTCATTAGTATGGTGGAGCTCTCTGAGCCTGTCATGCCCTTCATTTGCCCTTAGACTGTCCATCACTGTGCCAAGCCCTTGCCGTGGGTTACCTCCCCCTTGCAGTGGAAAGCAGTGTCAATGTCATATGTGAACCAGAGAAGATGTGGAATGAAAACTATATTCTCTCTCTGCCTAACCACACTAATCCATCCTTATAACAAAGCCAGGACCACCCTTTGTTGGCAGGAAAGCTGCTTTGCACAGCACTTTTCTCTTAGAACTTCAACAAAGGATGTGGAAATACCTCTCTACTTTTGGTGTTCTCCTCAACATACATAATACACCTTCTCCCCACACAAAAACCAAGGAGGTGCACATATTACCATCTTGCTTCCACCACAGCTTTTGCCATTTTCTCCCACAACCCAGCAGGAAGGGATGGTCTTGTCAGGTTGTAAGTCTATGGCAGAAGGCTGGGGGGAGATGTTGACAGTGTCTTTGATGAATGGGGGAGGCAGACAAGAACCAACAAACTGAAATCAGCCCTATAGACACTTATGCTGAAGTTATGTTCACTTTCAGAAGAACTTCTCCACAGATAAATGATTTGAATACAAGAGAAAATATATCTGTCAGAAATGATCAATTAAGTGAGTATTGTTCAGAAGAAAAGAAAAGCTTTCTCCCCTTATGCTTTGAGGATGAATTGAGAAGGCCAAATGCCAAGATAATCAACATTAGTCCAGCAAAAGCAGTAACTTCTCACATGGTAAGAATACCTACTAATAATGTTCAGTAAATGCATGTATTAGTACTACTTGTGGAAATGTTATATTCTAGTGACCATAATATTTGACAAATCTTTCTCTTGTTTCACATTCTGATGTGACAACAACACATAAATTCTTAATGCTCTTTTTAGAGCCGCCACCTCAAACTGGGGATTCCTTTGCACCAGCTGAAAATTCTGTGGTTTTTTGGTTTTTTTTTCCATGAAGAAGGCTTTATCAAATTTTCTTGATTATGAAAGAAAAATAAAATAAACCTGATATTTTTAAAATGACTTGATCATGTGTCACTTTTCTATCAATCTACTTTAGCTATTCCAACCAGAAAATACATTTAATAAAGGCTATTTTGGTAGCTCACAGAGTCTCTAGGAAGTCTGGAAAGACAATCTGGCTTGAAAGCTATCTAATGAGGAGTTACCCAATTACAGCCTCCGTCTCCTCTACTGGGGCCCATGCTATTGTCACTGATAACAGTTCACAATTCAGATTCTGGGCAGGGGACACTATTTCTAAGACCTTTCCCACTCATATATCTACCACCACCTCACTAGAATGTTTTCACAATGTCTGCTTTTTCACAGTGCTTGTTTTTTCTGAATGAAAGACTTTCTTAGGAATATTTTATTGGCAGGGCCTAGGTCACATGCCTATTCCCCAACCTCTGGGGAGCCTGATAAAGCTTGTTTCTGCTTCCACCTAGGGTACATAGATTTGTATGATAGAAAATTCCCTAAGGTGTCGGATAGACCAAAAATATGATAAATCTCCACTACTGTGCCTAAGTAGGTAACATTGGCATCACCAGTGGATTGAAAAATTAGATCATTTTTTTTTATAATTATAGGCAGTAATTAATATGCCTTTCAAATGAAGTATGCTAATGTACAGTTAGGTGGATCCCAGTTTCTTATTTCATTAATTATATTTCTAAAGGGAAAGTAGCAATCATTGGGCTAAAGTTTGCAAACTAAATACTGGAAATATTCATATTTACCAGTTTCTTTGGAGTTAGTCTTTTATAATTAGAATAGAAATTTGGGAAAGAGTTTAGTGAGTAGCTCATACATGCAGATTTTGCTACTACTGTGATAAATGCCCTCTATTTTTAAGTCAATCTACTACTTTGGCTATTTTATTCTGTAGATACGTAGTGAGTATTTTTTATGTGCTAAGTGTTGGGATACAGTAGCAAATATAATCATTGTAAAGATAATTTTAGATTTTCTGAGTTATTTATTAGGATAGCTAGACTTTGTAATTTGGGCTTGTAGTCAGTTATGTCTCTTATGATCTTTGACTCAAACCGTTTTTTTGGTATGTTTCTTATTTCTGGACATGGAAACCTAAGAAACTCCAGACAATGTTTTATTCTACCAACCATACTATTTCCCAAAGACAACACCTCAAACATTTAAAAATGTATTTATTAAAAAAATGTATTTATTTCTTTATATCCCACTTTATTTCAAAAAGGTTTTTAGAAGAGCAAAAGTTCAGATTTAGCCTTGATATCTTCATAGAATATTAAAAAGAGAAGGAAGTGTGTCACATACAAGTACATGTTTTTTGTGTGTATTGAATACTACTATTGTTCATATTAAAAACTTTTATGTAGTCATTTTTAGAATATTGTACCATTTTTATTTTTATGTTTAAAATTATATGTATCTAAAATTATATGTAGCCTTCTGGGCTCAATGGACTGATGACTAAATTCTTTTCTTTAATCCACAGGAACAAAATGACACAAATCCCATAATTTTCCATGAGACTGGATATGTACAAACATTACTTCTGACAAAAAATAGGCTTCTTTCTCATCCTATGGAAAATAGAAATACTTCCCCATATAAAAGAGTAAATTTTGTTCTAGAAAGAAATCATGAAATCTTCAAATCTTTAATTAATAATCAATTTATTACTGATTCTAAACCCAAAAGAACTATGCCTGCAGCATGGAGGAAAAATATACAAGCATCGTCTCTTGAAGTGGGCTATAGAGTTGTAGAGAATAAACTAAAGAAGAAAACTAGTATGAAGACATTTGAAAACATGTCTTGTAATAAACCCTATAATTTCTCAGAGACTTTTTCTAGCCTAACAAAAAAATGTGTAGGTTTCCTTGATAAAACTGTTATTCAAGAAATGAGTACTAAAAATGGTAAATTTAAAAGCATGTTATCTACAGTTAAACCAATGAGCAAATTCAGTGCCTCACCTGTCAAATATTGCTCAAAGCCTTTAAAAAATGTACTCAAATTCTATAAATTAGATACTGTAACACCACTGGATGATTTGTTAAACTTGTCAAGTGGAAATTAAAAACCTCATAAAATATTGTTTATACAGCAATATTTGGGTATGAAGAAGCAAATAACAAAATTCCAAGAGCATAGAAGAAATTTTTATCTACATAGTAATGTTCTAATGAATGGTATAAGAAAACAAACATAGAAATTGGAGTTACAAATCAATAGTAGCATGCTTAAGAAAAACCAACATTTTTACTAAAATGTAAAGGACAAAATTAGGAAATAATTATCAAGAGGAACTAGCTAATTTCTGTTATCGCAATTAGATTCCTCAAGTCACCAGCATTCTGACAGTAAAGTCTGATGTGGACCAAGAATGTCATAGACTGATTCTGGAAATTCGCTATTGGAAACCAAATACTGTTAATAACCTTGCTCTATTATCGAATATAAAATTAGACAAATGTACCATTAACTTGACGCATGTGGAATTAATCATATCAGTACTTTGGATGATCATTGGAAAATAGTATTACTTTAGCAATTCATGTAATTAAAAAGGCTTTGTAAAATTTCAAATAGCTTTTTGTTAGTAAATGTTAGAACTTCATTCCTATATAGTGCTTTTTCCAAGTATAACTTTTATCTAAATTGTTCAATAATTTAAAAGAATAACTTATCCTTCATAAGCTAAATAATTTTGGTAAAAAAATCTTACAAAGTAGTGAATATTTTAAGTGTATTATTACATTGCTATTTCACTGTTTATATGAATGAATTTGGGCAAATAATGTAAACTTTCTGAGCCTCAGTTTACTGTATCCCCTTCTTAAGATGGGGACAACAATACTTTTATTACAGTATTAGTTTTTTCAGGATTTAACAAATGTGGCGTACCTTGAGTGTGATAAGCATTCGTTAAAGATCCCTTTCCGATTCCCACCCTTTCCACTGCTCTTAACATAAGTATAGCTTCTTAAAAGATGTTCCCCAAAGATTCTTACTTCAGTCTTTTCTAAATTAAATGATAAACCGGGCCGGCTGAGTGGCTCAGTTGGTTAAGAGCTCGCTCAAGAGTTTGAGCTCTGAGCAACAGTGGTTCGAGTCAGCCCGAGCTGAGCAGCCGCGGAGCTGCCAACAGGTGGCGGGATGGCTCAGCTAAAAAAAATAAATAAATAAATAAATAAATAAATAAATAAATAAATTAAATGATAAACCTAACTACAGTATTTAGACTGTAGCCAAAAATAGTTTCAAATTAGAACTGGAGATTTTTGTATTATTTACTTTTGGAAGTTTCTGCTAGAGCTTGTGACTTTAGGAAGGCTCTCAAACAGCTTAAAAATTCCATTTGGCTGAGGCTTCGCCATTAAAACAACTGAACAGCTGGGAGTAGTGGATTTTGGGAAGATGGTAACCTAAACTCAGCACCTTTCTCTTCTACTCTCAGCTTAAATATATCAGCCCCTAAACCAAACAGCTACTGGGATCTTCAAGCAGTGGGGTACAAGGTTAGATGTGGTTTCTATTCTGATGCTGAAACCTGAGTATGGCCCTGGAAACAAGTCTCTGAGTCACAAGGCAATGGTAGAGATTGCGCTGTGTCTTGGGACTACCTGGCCAGTTGGGAATCTGTGGATTATCCCAGGGAAAGGTTGCCTTTGGCCCATTATAAGTATTCCTGGTCTTATTGGGCCCCATCAGGCCAAGAAGGAAACCTGTAAGAAGACTGGAAGTCAGAGATTCATGGCTTTTCCTACAGTTGCCTTACCAGGGGACTGTGGTCTACTAGCTTCTATTGCACCAGTTCATACTGGACAAGACTTTACCCAACCACTTACATGACTGTGGTCACTAGATACTGCAGTAAACAGACCTGAGCTTCCCTGAGCCAGCTAAGGAAAATAGCAACCCATCTAAAGGGGCGAGCAATACAACAAAGAACAACATATAAAGCACAACATACAAAGTACAGCGACATCTTTGGTGTGCTTTGTATGTATCAAACAAAGTGGCTAATTATATAAAGCAGACTATTGGAAATCCCAGGACAATATAGTAAAAATTATAGTCAAGGACCTTAATTCAAATCTTTCAGAGTTAAACAGGTAAAACAAAAGTATGGCTACAGAATAATTATATAATGCAATTAGTAAAGTTGCTATAATGAACATAGACCCTTGTTTCTTTGAAACAGAGAAAATAAATTTTGTGGTTTGTCTATACAAAATAGATTATGTTCTAAGCTACACAGAAACACCTAACCTTTTAAAAATATATGTGTAGAGACTATTTAAAATAATCCAATAAAATTAGTAATAAAAATAAACCAAAATCCAAATATATTTACTGTTTGAAAAGAAAGGATGAGAAAGGAATCAAAACTTAAATTACAAAGTACAAATAATGAAAAGGAAACCGTTCAGTTCCAAAACTTAATGGCACAACAGCAACCTAATGCAAAAGAAAATTTATAGTTTTCAGTTTTCTCTCCCCAAATACCCAGTCCCCTATTCCTTCCTCTTCCTCCTCTTCTCCTCCTCCTTTTCCTTAGTGAAAAGGATCGGAAAGTTCTCATCTTGAAAAAAGAGAGATAGTATAAAATAAATAAAAAGAGTTATGAATAGAAAATTAATACAGGTAAACACTAAAAACACTTAAGTACGAATAAAAATATACTGTAAAAGTATACATAAAAACAAAAGTTGTTTTGTGTATTTTTTTTAAATACACTAAAATGGATAAACCCTTCTCAAGCCTGATTTAAGAAAGAGGAGCAAAAAAACATATAAGGTTAGGAATGAGAAAAGAACCATAGATACATGAGAGAGTAAAAGAAACATAAGAAATATAACATGCAAATTTATGCCAATAAATTCAAAAATCTACAGAAAAGTGGGTGATTTCCTATCAAAAAGGAAATGATAAAAAATTACCCCTAGTAATGGATATCTGGAATAGACCAATTTCCTAGAAGACAGTAACATGTCTAGATGTTCACAGGTAATTTTTCTTACTTTGTTATTGAAGCCAGAGTGGTAGGCAGAATTTCAAAGATGTCTCCCCAAGATTCCTACCCCTTGTTATTTAATCAAACACTAATCCAAATACTGCTGTGAAAGGACTTTGCAGATGGATTTAAGGTTATTAACCATCTGACCTTAAAATATGCAAATTATTTTGAATTATTGGTAGATCCATGTAATCACATGATCCCCTAGAAGCAGAAGAAGGCGGAAGTAGGAGAGATATGGCAGAAAAGAAATTAAGGAAGATGGAATAGAAGTAGAGGTTGGAGACTGTATTTCATAAGGGCAACATTTTTGAACACTTGTTTCCAATTTGTTCACAACTACTCATTTCCTCCCTGCCTTTGCCATGTTTCTGCATAGCTGGAGTGTATTTCCTTAATCCATTGATGGGACTTGGTCATTTGACTTACTTTAACCAATGGAATGTGAGCAGACATGACTTGCACGATTTACCTTTGCTTCTCTTGCTCCTGTCCTCCACCATAAGGATAGCACATCTCAGGTGGTGGCCAGTCCTTGAGCCTAGGTGCCAGTATAAGACACTGGAGCCAAGGCCAGCTGAGTCTTGCAAAGCCCAGAAGAGCCTCAGCCATTTCATGGCCCTCATGTAACATGATCAAGAATAATTTTTTGATGTTGTAAGTCACTAAGACAATGGAATTTTTTCTACAACAAGGACAAACTGAAACAATTGTAGGGGGACTCTGACCTTTGATTTTCATTCATCGCAAGGAATTTTATAGTGGGGGGAGTTTTTATTCAATACTGGGCATCTTTATGTTGTTAGCATTTTATTATTGGAGTATGTTAATCTCATAACAGAACCACTAATGAAGCATACTGGGCAATGGGCTGGCCATAATTTCAGATGGGAAATAAAATAGCAAATGAAATGTTTATCTTCACATACCATGGTCTTGGAGTTAATTTAATTAATAAACAATTAATGTATATTTTAGTACCTCTGGATACAAAATTAATCCCATTGACCAACATGCCTGGTAGAATCCCAAAAGGCACAGTGTTGGAGCAATCTCATAAAGGTAGGTGAAGAACTTCCCCGATAGCTGCTAATCCTTTCTCCAGAGGGTGCTAGACATACCCGTGATTGACCATAAATATAATGATTACATTTAAAATGTAAGGGAAAGTTAGGGAAGAGTTAGGGAAGAACACTTATTTCCCCACTCCTCTTGTTCCCCTGTGGCAAGAGGGACTTCTCTATGGTAACACCCATGGTCTACTGCCCCACCCATTACTCACCTTTTGTTACTGAGGTGGCTTGAGAAGCTTCATTAGGGATGGTATCAAATAGCCCAAGTTTCTTGACTGAATAGGACTAACCTATTACAAAGACTGTAAGCCTAGGGAATTGATTTTTTTTCTTCCCTTTTTGCCTCAAGTCAGAGAGAGCAGCGATAAATGGGGTAAGTATGTGTGGTCTGCAAATTCAAACTTTCCATTGGGTGGGCCATTCCATACTTGAAGACAGGGAGGCAGAACACAGCCCTAAACAAGTCTATTTAGCTCTCAAACCCAAGCCATGCTCTGCATACAACTTGAACTGTGTTGATTGCCGTCAACCCACCTGAGGCATCTATCTCTCAACTGCTTCCACACTTCAGGGGGAAGATGAGCATTATTTTTTAGTTCCCTCAAACTCCAACATATATTTTCCAATGTATTTTCCCAAAATGCCTGTTGTCAAAGATATTGATTCCATCACATAACATTGAGTGTGGATGTGGATGGGGTGGCAGAGAGAGAAGTGTTTGTCAGTCATCAGTCTTCCCTTGCTCCCTGAGTAACGCTTTCCTGGATCTCAGGGTCTAATACCCTAGGCCAGCATCACCTATTTCTGTGCCCACCCCAGCTCCTAAATCACCAGCCTGGGCTGCACCTATGATCCTACTTCTTCCAGCATGGTGACTGGAAATTTAAGATAGGTTATCTACCCACAAGAGTGTCTTTTGGGGGAATATACATCATTACATCTGAGATAACATTTCACCATCTTGACCATACTATAAGCAACACA